TGCAGTGTTTTTGAAAATGTGGAGTTAATTTTTTTTTTTTTTTTGCTGATACTTAGAACTTTCTCATCAATAATCATTGTTTTGTTTTGTTTTGTTTTTCTTTGCATCCTAACCATATCAGGGTTAAGTATTAATGTTATACTCACTTTACAAAATGAGGATGTTTTCCTTAATTTTCATTGAGTACATGTAGTCATGGAGCTCTGGGACTCTCTGATTTCTGATGGTTTGATGGCGATTTGCAGTCTCGATATCGCACAATGGGAGGTTATTGTATTTCCCTCTGGGGGAGGGACAGATCAATCAGATTGATGGATCTGCAAGCACTTAATATTTGTTAAGAGTCACATATTAATTATTACAATGGGGAAGAACAAAGCATAGAGTAAATGGGTAATTAAGCTACATCAATTAAGAAAGAGATAGATACCTGAGAAATTTTATAAAAATCATATTTTAGTTCAATTTTTGGATGCGGATAGTATTTTACTCAACCAAGAAGTAAATAAGTAAGCATACTGAGGCTTCTGAATACAGAACTTACCATAGCCACGTAGGGATATGCAGGCGACCCTTTGGTACATATTTTTTTATTTGATCCTTTGACAAAGCCAGGGTAGTGTCACTCCCATCTCAAGCTCAGAGAGAGCAATGAGAGCACAAGTACAGGACAAAGCCTAGCACAAGGCCCAGTGTAGAGCAGGAGCTTAAGAAATGTTTGGGGAACTTTCTGATGATACAAACCACAACAGCATTTTGTTTCTCTTGCTTTCCTCTGTGCTTTATTTTGTGTGTTATATGATTTAAAAATTATATGATACTATGTTGCCTACTCATTACTTTGTTTATGTTTCTCTTATCTTCACAACCAAACTGTAGCTCCTTTTAATAGGTAAATATTTGCTGCTGAAAACTGGGTCTCTGAGCTTTTCAGTAACAGAATTCCAATTTTCATTCCATTCTTGTGTCTTGTTTCCTTCTGGTAGCTCCTAGGTTTGCCAGGAAGTTGGAAACTGAGTCCCTCTCTCCCCTCTCTCCTCCAGTTCTGGATGAGTCCGGCTGCCTCAGGCTGGTGAGCTCACCACAGGGTGCTGGCCATGGAGCTGGGCTCAGCAGTGTCCCATGTGAGCCCAGAAGACTGGAACCTTCTGGGGGAAAAAATCCTTGCTTTTTCTCTCTGGATCTGAAACGGAATAAGAGTAATCGAACAGGAAACGCACAAAGTAAAATTTACCGAAATAGATGACCGGGACACTTCTGCTAAGTTCTATTACGCTGCAAGACTCCATGACACAGGTCCATTTTAATAAAATAAAGATTCTAATCCTGTAATGTGAACATTAAGTTTCTCCTTAGAGTCTCATGACCAAAACTTTTGGCAAACACTTTCACACCAATCTCATCGATCTGGTCAGGAAAGAGCTTAGATTAAGCCCATGCAACCCCCCTGTACAGGGGCCCAAACGGCGTTGCCCAATGGACACGATTAGCCAACAGCGGAGGGGAACAATGTTGGTCCCAAGTGGGGGACACACTCACTCTTGAGGACATGTTGCTACTGTTAACCTCGGCATGCCGCTGAAATGCACATAGTAGAGTGAAAAATACACATGGATTATACTGAGTTTTCATTTTTCCCAACTCACTCAGTAAAAGGTAGTATTTTGTAACCATATTAAAGTTTCCTTGATTTCCAAAATGCAGTTGAACATCTTTTCACAGGTGTATTGGCCTTCTGTATTTCTCTGTTTTTTTCTTTCCTCTTTCTTTTCTATGGTTTACATCCTTTGTTCATTTTTCTTAGGAGCTGTTTGTATTATTTTTGCATATATATATATATATATCACAGTAGTTTCTCTATTCTGAAAACTGTCCTTTGTATGTTTTGTAATTACAAATTAATTCACATTTTACAGCTGTCTTTTAGTTTTGGCTGTATCTTTGGTTTTTTTCAGTCTCTTACTTTCTTATTATAAAATGTTATTCATTTTAAATGTTTAGATTTCTATTCCATTGGGAATATTCTATGATAAAAAAATTATAACTGATTTTTTCAAAAGAAAGTAATTTATTGAATTTATATTTCTCTACCATTTATGTTGCCTCTGTCTTACACTACATTTCAGAACCTATTGGAGGGTTTGGCACACTTTAATCTGTTCCACCTATCTGTTTATCTGTTCTAAAACCAACATCACATAGTTTTAATTCTATAGACTAAAACTAAATCTTGATGTCAGGTTCTTCTTTTCCAAATTAGTCTATTCTTGGATTTTTACTCTTGTATGTGAATTCTGGAATCAAGTTAGCGCAATTAATTGGAAGTCCCACTGGGAGTGTTTTTAGAAATCAGTATTAGAGAAAATTGACTTTTTTTATATTACATCTCCTAGTTCATACACATCTGTTCAATTATCCAGTGACTCTCTAATGTATTTCAACAAAGTTTTACAATTTTTCCACACATAATAATTTAGTTTTACCCTGCTGACTTAAGATTGTGTTGCAGTTTTAAGAAAGAGCTTTGTTTATTTCAGTATTTTTTATTTGGCTGTTATATCCATTTGGTTATGTATTGATTTTGTGTATTTATCTTTTATTTCCTACAACTTTGCTATTCCTGGTTGATTCTAACTAGATGGCTATTTGTATTTATTTTACATGTTATATCATCATGTCATTCATCAACAATAACCTAATAACCCTTTATTTGTTATTTATCTTTTATTCAATTAGCTAAGACTTTCAGAATACTGAGTCATAAAGGAGGGATACTAGGCAGGTATACTTGCCTTTTCATTGACGTTGTTATTGGGAAAGTAATAACTAATCATTAAATATATAGCATGATTTGAGGTTTTGACATGATTCCTATGAATAACACGTTTTCTTTTGTTTATAGTTTGAGATTTCTTTCTTAAAATGTGAATTTTGGTGGATCTCTTATTACTTAACTTCTATTAAGAAGTTCACAGTTTTCTCTTCTAATCTGATACATTGTAACTTACATTGATAGGCAAGCGCTGAATTATTGAATGGGTCTGTTTTGTGTTGCTATAACAGAATACCTGATGCTGGGCACCTTATGAAGAAAAGGGTTTATTTAACACACAGTTGGAGAGGCAAGAGCACATCAATGAAATCTGTGTAGTTCTAATGTGGGCCTTATAGCAGATATGGCAGATAGCCTCACAATGACAGGAGTGTGTGTGTGTGTGTGTGTGTGTGTGCACGCACATGTGTGTGAAAGGGGCAAATGTCACATGTACAAGAAGGATTTAGAAGAGATGTTAAGCTCCCTTGTATTGACCCATTGTCATAGGACCTAACCTTGTCCTCAAGAGCACCATTAATACCTGCCACATGTGGTGTCTTCTTTCCCCTAAACCCTACTTCCCAGAAGTTCTACCACTTCGGTACTGCAGCCTTGGGGGTCATGTTTCCAGAACATGGACTTTCTGGGGGATACCTCTAAACCATACCCAAACTACAGCTACTACCCTTGCACTCTTGGAATAAATTTTAGGAACATTTGCTCATATTTTTTAGAAGACACAATTGAGATTGGTTTGATAATGTTTTACTTTTGCCTTTTAGATATACTTCCATAAGTGAGGTTAATGTTTTTTCACTTTTACAACTGTTGTGCAACTTTGGTACCAATATTTTACCACACTTGAAAACTAATTGGAGAACTAAAATTTTTAGTATAGTTGTTATGTAAAAGGAATTAGCTGGGCTTTAATGGATTGATACAACTTGTGACCCAGGCTAGAAACACCTTAGGAAAAGAATTTTTCATTTTTATTACCACCTTGTTTTTTTAATAATTGTTGATTTATTTAAACTTTCTATATCTTCTATTTTGCTTGAAAACTGTGTGTTTTATCCAGTTCTCAATGTTTTATTGTGGGATTTCTAAAATCCTGCACTCAATTTGAGTTATACTTACTTTTTCATTTTTAATATTTTTATTTATGTTTTGTCTGTTGAGCACAGAACTTTATGCACGAGGTGGGTGTCTGTTAGGTCTGAAAAGATCCATTCTTCCTTCTGGATTCAGGGATTGTAGTTTTATTTAAAAATAAATTTAACCTTAACAATCTGTTTTCTGCACTTAAAAGAACGCACATAAGCATCAGGAATAATTTTAGGAACCAAATTTGGAATCAAGAAGGCCACCTCCTCCCCTGGTCATGAAGAGTTTGGGAGTCAGGGTTGGGAGAAAACAGAGACTGCAGCCAGATGTTCCTGGATAGTCCTTCTGCCCCACTGGAAACTGAAAGAAACTTCATTCTGGAAGGACCCTTTTCCTGTGTTGGATAACCTATCTCTTATTCGGGGTGGTTGCTAATGCTGTTATCTTTCTTCTTATTATGTTTACCTTTCTGTATTCTTTGTGAGGTCTGGATTATGTCATTTATCTGGCTTGACATCTTGTAAACCCTTTCAAGCTGGAAACACGTTGGCTTCTGCAGTTCTGAAAACCTTTATACCCACACATTTCTTATCCTTCATTCTTACTTGTAGGCTGTAATTAAGTGGGTGTTAGGACTTCTCAATTTATCTTCCATGTCTCAATATATCTTCCATATTTTCCATCTATTCTTCAGTGGTGAATTTTGAGTAAACTCCTCGATTCTTTCTTCATGTCATTAATCTTTCTCTACAGTCATATTTAGATCACAAATTATCTTGTCTACTTGGTTTTTTATAGCAGTGACTACATTTTACTTCCATGCTTTTCTCTACAGTCATATTTAGATCACAAATTATCTTGTCTACTTGGTTTTTTATAGCAGTGACTACATTTTTCACTTCCAAGATTTCTAATATATATATATATATATATACTTTATATTATATTATCCCCATATTTTATATTATATCATATATTATTATTTTATATTATTACCAGCTGTTCTAATTGCAGAGACAATATTCCCCTTTTTAAGGAAAAAAATGAAATATTTATATATTTTATTTAAATTGCTGCCTTATTTTTATCTGTGTGGTTGAAATCTTCCCATATCTTGAATGTTCTGTCTTCCACAGAGGGATGTTTTCTCTATTCGTTTGCCATCTCCAGGAAAGATACACTGTATAGGAGTGAGTGTTTTCATGCAGGCTGTACTCTGATTTGTGCCTCATGTTTCCCTTGAACTGCTGGTGTTGTGCATCCCGAGGAGCTCTTCCAGCAGAGCTCAGAAGGCTCTTCTGAGTTGGGTGATGGTGGCAAAGGGATGCTCCTCAGAGGCTCTGTTCCACAGAGGGCCGTCTCCAGGCTCTCAGCGCTGCCGGCAGACTCATTTCCCTCTAAGCTGCGGGGCTCATGGGAAACACAAAGCCCTTCACTTACATTAAGATTTCAGGACTATCACGGAATCATTCAGCACTGGGCCCTGGGGTGATGGCAATGGCAGAAGTTTCATCATCTCCCTCCTAGGATGCAAGCAGGGAGGCAGGTCAAAGCCATCAGGAAGCGCTGTGCTACGCAGCCCCTAGGATGACCCCGCATTCTAGATAAAGTGAGCCTGGAGAGATGGGAAGCAACTGGGTTGTATCAAATCCTCCTGTGACCCTGGCCAGCGTACACTGAAGGCAGCTTGTTCAGTGCTCTCTCCATGGCTACAATAGTCTCCTTTGTGAGTAGCAACTCCCACTGGGGCTGAGATCTGTTGCTGGGCATGGAACAAAGCTGTCTGGCATTTGGCAAGACCAGAAGCAGGAGTTACCACTTTTAAAGGGATGCTTTTGCTCACCGACTTGGCACAGAATAAGGGAGGAAAGGGAGGGGAGTGCTGTAACCAAACAAATATAACAAATCCAAAGTTGGAAAGACACTAATGGTAGGGTCCAAACCCCACCTTGGTCCTTTGTTTCGGTCTATAAATAAATCCTTGCATCTCAATGCACTTGTACAGTTGCAGTCTGGAATTATGCAGTGCTTAAATATTATATCATTCCATGGTTATCAGGAATACCACGGAGCTTTTCAGAGGACAGCAAATAGTTACTTTTCTTCCTCCTACCAGCCTTCATTTTATTAGCACCCTAGGTGTCTTATGGCAGCAATTTTCTAGAAAGAGATACTCAATTTACAACCAGGTTCTTCTGACACACTCATTAGAACACTTGCTGACTGCTTGGAATTTGCTAGAAAGTAAACTGCAAATCCAACTTGGTAGCACCTGTATAAATCCTAATTTACTGAAATTATATTTAGCATCCAAAAAAGACCTGAAATTTTTCTGAGAATGAAATACAGTGGTATCTTGGTTCTCGAACTTAATGCTTTCCATGATTCTGGTCACAAACCGAATTGGATGAGAACCAAACCAAATTCAATGGTTAGGTTCAATGTTGACCTCATGGGGAAACTGGATTTGGTTCTTGTCCAATTTATTTTGTAGCCAGAATTATGGAAAGAATTAAGTTCATGAACTGAGGTACCGCTGTAAAAGAAAATTAAAAAAAGATCATAAACCATCTTAAGGAAAAGATAAAGGGTAGCTATTGGCATGCAATTAAATGTATTTAACATTATCTCCTGAAAATGACCAGTTAAAACCTAATTCAAGGCTAGGAATATAGTTCAGTAGCAGAGTGTTTGTTGAGTATTTGTTAAACCCTGGGTGCAATCCCCGGCTCCATGTAAATGAGAGCATAAAACCTAATTCATTCTTAGAGCTACTGAGAGGCAGTTACCCTAAGCTCCCCAAACCATTCAAGACCCAGAACGATGGTCAGTGGTGAAAGCCACTGTGCACAAAATGATCATATAGTTACCGGGCAGCTCCTTCACCTCCCAGTATTCTTTTTTCTTGACTTCACTCATCTCCCTGGATGTTGATGGCCAGGAACACACACCACCAAATCCTCCTGGACTGAAAACATGATCCTGTAAAGAAGGAAAGGGAAGAAAGAGCCAGATTTCATGAGTACATGTTTCTTTATTTATTCATTTTATTTTTTATGCAGAAGTAGCGCATTTTCACATTTAGGAGCCACTTATACCAGATATTCATTTAAAAAATCAAGTTAACTTACAGCTCTAATGTAGAAGTGATATTTTCATATGAAAGAAAATGATGATACCGACACACTGTGCATTGCTGTACGGCATACACACAGCCTGTAAGCTCCACGGCCCGCATGACAGTCTCTGGGTTTTCTGAGCGCTTGGTCTTCTGGAGACAGAAGAAAGTCAAGATGGTAGCTACTGTTTGAGATACGCTTGGGGCTGCTGTCCCTGCACTGCCGGGAACATTTAGATAGAATGGAAGAAGATGTATAAGAAACGGCTAAGGTGGGTAGGAAATAATAAATGGAAAACTTACACTTGTATTGTCTTCTACTGAAATATAAAATAGGCCAAAATTTTTGTCAACTTTTATGAGACCTTTTTTTCTACCGTCGAAATTTTCTATGGAGGAGTTATATATATGAACCAAACTGTATTTCCTTCCATTTCTGACAATTTTTAGCATAGCCATGTCTGTAGATAGTTGTGTTATGATTTTATTTTCCTGGCAATTCCAGTTGCAAAAGTTTACACAGCAACGACGTTAGGAAGCACTTTTATTTTTCCCTCAGATGTTTGTCATAAACAAAGCTGTCTTTCTCATAGGAAAATGTTCTCACTTTTATATGATAATCTTTACAGCTTTAGTGATTCTAAATAGCTTCAGAACTTATCAATTCAGTTACTAAGGTAAATTTGTTGAGCAAAATCCATAAAATTTTACAGAGAATTATACTCTTCATATTGCAAATTTGTAGAGTCTAAATATATATATTTTGGGGGGTGAATCGTTGTCAGCAAAATTCTTTTATGCATAATGCTTTTAAGTATAACACCATTAAAGAGCTATGTAAATAAAATTCCATTATAAAGTAACATGATAGCATAATAACTTTAAAACATGTTTATGGAAAAGTTCTATATAATATAAATATACTAGCTTTCTTAAAGATATAAAAATATTAGTCCTCATAAGCTGCATCAAAATACTACCAGGGATACTAGAAAGTCGTAACTATGGGACACTGGAAAAGAAAATTATTTGGCCATTATTCTTGGCCTTTTAAAAAGTTGTATATAGTCTAAGGCAAGTGGCCTCTTAGTAGATATGTTTGACATATTTTTGTTGTGCTAGAATATGTACTCTGTATTTTAGTTTTTGTGTGTCAAAAGATGTCATCAAATAGATAATGGCAATCATTATGAGAGAAAGAGGAAAACCACAGATTATTCTTACAATCAAGAGAAACAGTAGAGTAGGCTTGACACCATAGTAATTACCTGAGCGGACAGATTTCTAATCCCAGAAATAAACATGCTAATTAAGCTACACTACAGAATGACAAGATGTTAAGATCTGAGTCTGGAGAGATTGTTATTCTAATTTACCAGTGGAATTTAATTCTCATTATATTAAAAGTACTTAATCACCCAAATCTTTTTTAATTAACAAAATTATTCAGGCAGCTTCTGTAAGTTTCTTCCATGATGGAGTTTTAGAGGGACACATTTCCTGGTCAGTGTATCACCGTCTGGGGTCTACATTTCTTTTACAGTGGGGTTGTACGATGTTTTCTCTGTTGCAAGACTTGCCTGTGTATGCTACCAATGAGGCTTTAAATGCGGAATCAAAGATTATCACACCGGAGCTTTCAAGCTATCCTGTGCTTTTTGTCCTTTAAAGATGAAGATGAAAAGACAAAAAAAAAAAAAAAACTCCATTAGTAAATGGAATTCACAATCCCTTGACTGATTCTGGTGAGGTACAGGTTTTGAGATCTCCATGACCAAACATTTTAAAAGATAGTCACAGCCACAGTGGGTGTAATAAAGAGGAGAGAAAAGTGCACATATAAATAAATAATGTGCAAAAGAAGTACAAGAGACATCATCATTATTTTCATACTTACAGGTGAAAAATAAGTTTAAATTTTCTAAACCAGTAAGCGAGCAGTGTAACAGTTTGGGAAGGTCATCTGAAACACATAAAATGAGCACAACATTGCTTAGGGTGTGAAAGCATGTATGTAGGGAAGAAATGGATTTTTAGAGTGAAAAGACGCACAGAGAGAAAATTCTAGAAGATGATTTAATGTACTTTCTAATTGTTTCCCAAAATGCTCAGGTGTGTGCGTGTGGGCTACTACCCTCCTGTCCCTTTTCCTATGTTCATTTTCCTGCTGTGACTGTGGTAGGTACTTCTTTTCTGCCAGGAGATAGTCTATGTTAAAAAGTAGTCAATAGTTAATAATATTTTGTAAGTATTTAGTGAATGACAACAATAAAAGAACTATAGAAGAAGTAAAATGGAGCTATATATGCTTTCTAAAAGTATGGTCAAAACTACTTATATCTTTGCTACTCAAAGTGATCCATCAACCCACAGCACTAGCACTTCCTGAAAATTAGAAATATAGTTGGGCTGTTTGGGTTTATGTCTAAATGTACCCCCAAAGCCTCATGCTGTCCTAGGTGGCTTTTTCAGAGGTGGCTAAAGTTAGAGTATGGTGATGCTGGGATTAAAGGGTGTGGGATCACTAAACCAGTACACTGATGGGCTTGGCACTGCCCTAATCCTGGTAGTCTGGATAAAATAGAAGAGACATAAAGATGTCGCTAAGCTTCCCCTTTTCTGTTACTGTGTGTACCATGAACCGTTTTTCCTCTGCGATGCCCTCTGCCATCTACTCTGCCTTGGAGCCAGCAGATTATGGACTGAAACCTCTACAAACTGTGAGCTAAATAAACCTTCCCCGCTTTAACCTTGGGTGTGGAGTTTTTTATCTCAGCACTGAGAGAAAAATAGGTAAGACACGGGCTCCACACCATCCTTTCTGAATCAAAATCTGCACTGTAATACGATCCTCAAATAAATCAAATGCACATACAATTCTAAGAAGTGCTGTGATACACGACCACAGTCTAATGAAAGAAACAGGCACTTTGGGGGACACTTTTTAAAAAGGGCAATAATTTCATAAAAAATACTTCAACCCAGAGCCCACATCATGGAGACAATAATAAAATCTAATTCTATTCGCAGAAATTGGCAACTGTTTGAGTCTGCCTTATTCTGCCTAACATTCCACACAATATAAAGTGTGTTCCTGGTTAAATATATTGCAAAAATGGTGCATAATATAAATTATATTTTAAAGTTTCTAGACTAGTAACTGATCGATACAACATAAATTTTGGAGTTACCTGGGATGTAGAACGACATTTCTTAGAAGGTGAATGGATCTGTTTATGGAAAAACATGATTTGCTCACAATAGGATCTGAGAAATTCTGAGAGGTCTTGAAATAAATAACGTCTATTCTACTCAAAACCAGGATTCCACAAGTATATTTTAACATGAAACTTTTTTTCTTTGTACAATAATATTAACATTATTCAGAACAATTTTTCTAAAGGGTATACTCTGGGAAACACCGTTTTTTAGCAATTTGTAACATTTTATGTGTGAATTCTTACTAGGGTTGATCTGCTCTCTGTTAACTTCTCTTATCGTTCTAAAATGCACTGAAAAATTCAACCTTCATCATGAACAAAAAGCAAAATTAAACTCTCACACAGTATATGTTGTAGCATAGAAATTCTGTGGCAAATTAATCTAGCTGTATTGTCAAAAATCATCTACCAGCACTCAGGAGGCTGAGTCAGGAGGATCACTGTGAGTTCGAGACCAGCCTGGGCTACATAGTGAGTTCCAGGTCAGTCTCAACTACATAGAGAAACCCTGTCTCAAAAAAAAAAAAAAACAAAGCAAAACAAAAAGTCATCCAGATCTGGGTAGATAAAGTTGTCCTTGAACAAGCAGTATGCTGAAGTCTGGTCGCCACATATTGAAATTAAGCCAGATCCTGCAAGGAAGGGAAAGGAAAGTTTTAGTTAATTACCAATAATGAATAAACCATTAGCAAGATCATGAGTAAGAACAATTAGTCACAACTGAAATATATTCCTGAAACTGTATAAAGAGGAAAATAAAGGAAAGTAGGAAGTAGGGAGATAGATCTTTCTCAAAGGGGAAGGGGATGAGGAGATGAAGAGAGAGGAGGGGAAGGTGGTTGGAAAATGAATTAAGATGTGTTCTGCCCTTGAACAAGCTCTACAGAAGGCATAGAAACATCATGCACTGGAAACATGTCCACATAAAAATATAGTAATATTTCTGACACAGATATAGCATTTGAAATAGAGTAGTTTAAGATCAGGAAAGGGTAATAAGGGAAAAGAAAAAAAACATGAGAAAATGAAAAAAATGGAAATAAAGTCTTTGTAAATAGGGAAGGGAGGAGGGGTTGAAGGGAAGGCAGGGAAATGGGGGGAAAAAATGAGAGCCAAGACCTGTCGTGTAGAGGTACAAGATCCCAGTGATGAATGTAACTGTACTGTATCCCTAAAATGTACCAATAAAACTCAGTGAGAAAAAAATAAGATCCAGCAGAGCTTTTTTTTAGGTTGATAAATTGTTGAAATTTCTGAGAATAGGTGCAAATCAATAAGAAGTTTCAAAAACTCAGAAACTTAAAGGGAATGAAGTCAATGCACATACTAAAGAATTTCAGTTCTTTCAGATTTTCAACTAGCCATTTATTTGTGTTGTTACGGTTTACATATCTGTCAACAGATAGATGATAGTTTTATTGATTAAGGTCTTTCCCCTCTTATAGAAGAAAACCACTCTTATAACCTCTAAGTAAAGAAAAGATTTTTAAAACAAGAAATCTGGGTTATTTGGTTTTATGAAAATACCTTTAGTTCTAGTGGCACTAGCCCTAGGATTCCTTTTTTTTTTTTTAAACTTCAATTCGACCAGTATCGATACAATGACAGAGTTTTCATAAGTTGGTTGATCCCTGTATAGTAATCACAACGTAATGTCCATGAAAGGTAAAGCTGTCAGTGGTAGGAATCCTGGCAGGATTGCCAGCTTCCTCACTGGAAAGCACGGTGAGACCCTAAGAGAGCATTCCCAACAGGTCTGGTCACTGTGCTCAGAAGCAAACCAGCTTTTCATTTGACGAGAAAGATGTCCCACGTCATGTGATGACTGCGCGCTGAGAAAGTCAGCTCTGCTTACTCAAAGCAAAGTAGTTGGCCAGCTATGTTCTCCAATCCTATTGGCCATTCCTTTCTGCCCACACGGATGCTCATTGGCTGCTACTTGTTATGGGGCCAGTGAGGGCACAGTAAATTTTGTGGTGTTGTAAATACAATTCGAGGAGACAATTTCCTATTTCTCACAGAGAAAATGTCATTTTCACTTAAATTAATAGCCTTTCTTTCAAGAGTTTTCTTCCAGTTTACTAAAAATTTACATCTTTGAAAGGTTTGTACCAAATAAAATATTAGCATTCTCCACATGCTTTCTGGAAAAGTACACATGTAAGACTCATAGATATGCAAGGCGAGGGGTGAATTAAACCCAAGAAAAGGGGGCTAATATGTAGTGTAAATAATGCTGGGCTAGGAACAGCTAAGTCAATATTGTCATCGATATTTGTCTGAATCTAAAGCAAAATCTTTAACTTGGGCAATTTGTATTGGATACTTGATATGATTGATGAGTACAGTTCAATTTGTGAACAGAAAAAATTGAAATAGTTTCACTGCTTCTTGTGTTACTATGAAGATTGCAGCACCCCTTGTGAAGAAAAGAGAATGTGTAACAGAATGATAAAGTCCTCGCGCAGTCTTCTGTCTTAATTACCTGGACGGCTCATGTAAAAATATTTTTATGCTCCCACCTTATACATAAATATATATCATGTACATGTTATGATATAGTCTATTACATATGATATATAATATACATATATGATATATTCTGTGCCTAATATAAATATAACTATTATTCACACTATATGATATATAAGTAATGTCATACATTATATATAATAAATAATATAAATATAATAGATCATATAATGTTCTCCAATTTCAAATCATATAGTATACTCCAATGTATTCATATATATATTTGTATATAAAGAGTAATATATGACATAATAATATATCATGTAATCTACTCCAATAATGTGTTCCAATATATAATATTTTTCTATAAAAGAGACATAGAACAGGTATTATCTGTTTACTTTCTCAACCCTCCCAGAGTAAAGATTAAACAGCCCCTGGTCATCCACTGGAGTTGTCTGCCAAGAGCTCAAATAGACTTACTGTGCCAGGAAAATCTCTGCTACTTCATTTCAACTCATTTAATTCTCCCTGCTCTTACCCAGCTAATAGTGACAATCTAGAATGTGCCAGTTACTATGCTGCGTGCTGAATATTTTATGATCAATATTTAAGCTCTTAAAATTTATTTTAAATAATTGAAATGTATAATGTCCCATAATTTTCTTTTCAAAACTGTAAGCAATTGAGTTTAGAAACAAATACTTTGATTTTTTTTTTTTTTTTTTT